TAGCTCAGCATTTCCTATTTCTCCGTCCATCTCCATGAGATTAGTGCCAGCATGATCAGGCATATTTCTCGGCTGTTGGGATTTTCCATCATTTACCCCAGTAGGGATCCGTCCACTTCGAGGGTTTACATTCCTGGCGGAACATTTCTCCGATCCAACTCGATGATCAGCAGCAGATCCTCGTGATGCACACACCGGGCATCGTACCTGATTTGAGCAAGAGGCTGCTCTATGCCCCGCTTCGCCGCATTTATAGCAAAGTCCACTCCTGTCTTCTGTGCTTGGGCACGAGGTTCTAACATGCCCAAATTCCAGGCACCTGTAACATTGTAATTTCCTCGGCGAAAGAAGCACTACTCTGGCAGATGTCCACCCGAGTCTAACTCGATCTGCTTTTACCAGGGCCTGAATTGCGTCTATAGGGCACTGGACCCAAACCGCATAAAGGCCATTTCTTAAGAGCTGGAACTTGCCCATTTTTACGTCACTTCTAGAGCAGCCCCCAATATCGGTTACCTTCTCAATGATCTCTTTGTCCGAGACAGAATCATCGAAACCAGTGATCCGGATCTCGGCCCGCTTGAAGGTAACGTGATGCGCGCCTTCTGTCCAAGCACCTCTTAAAGTTTGGCTTGGAGTTGCTTAGCTTTCGCCTTTCCGTCCTTTCCAGGAATCTGGACGAGTAAGCCACGAGACACGTCTCTACGTATCCTTGTATCGCCGAAATTAAGCCCCTCCAGATCGATCTCTCGCCTAGCCTTCTTCATAACGTCCGCATAGGTAGGTTTCCCATCCGGAATCCTTATAGCCACAGCAGCAGAACGAGGGGGGCGAACGCGCTGGGCTTGCCGGTTTTCAGGCAGCCTAGTACGAGGACGCTGCGCAAAGATGTCCTTCTTCGTCTTACTATCATTTCGAAGCTGTCTACGCCTTCGCGTTCGAGAGACCACTGTGGATCACTCGGTATCGCTAGGAGTGACAACAGAATCCGACATTCTTCGAACATCTTCTGACGCCAATCTCTCTCTCATCAATCTTTTCCGCACACCAAGAGTTTTCAGAGCCTCCAGACTAGCTTCAGGCTCTCTCTCTCTCTCATCTCTTCATCAGAGGTAAAACGTCCTCTCCGACCAAGTCTTTGGGGTCTTGGGGGTAATCTGTTAGCCGTACCGTTCTCTTCTATCCGCGCCAGACCTCTGCGGACATCGCGTATATAAGTGGATTCACGCACATCCCGATATCGGCCATCCACAGCAGACTTTCCCTTAAGGCTGTTATTACCAGCAGCACCAGAGTCCGTTCTTGTAGACCGGCTTCCAGCCGGAAGTGACGTAGCTGGGCCCAGGACAGCAGCATCCAAGGGGGACGTGGCAAAATCCCTAATCTGTTTGCTGTCCAGTCTTAACGGCTTCAAACCCACGCCGACTTTCCCGTCGTGCACGTCCTGCTTGAACTGCCGGAACTCAGACCTCAGCGCCTCCATCTGATCGCGCAGCATCTTGTTTTCCGCTTTCAGTTCTTTTGTCTCCCGCATTAATTTGGCCTCGCGTAGATGCATGTACGAGGAATCTCCCGCAAGCTCGCAGCGGTTGGAAAGATCCTGCTGCAGCAATCTTGATCCTTTCGACCCCTACCTTAATAGCATGTGACAACGCCCCATTGAGGTTCTTACTCTTTTTCCTCGCGTTGTCAATCGCGTCAGCGTTGTCCTCAATTGTCGCTGCTACCATTGCAGCCGACTGATGCCGGCTACTATCGTAGGTTGCCGTTCTTGGAGAAAAGTTATCTTTTGCTTTCCTCTCGGGCCGCGCTCCGGAGCCCGACGACACTGTGGTCACTCGTCGGATCTTGGCTCTGCTTTTTTTGCGCCTAACCTCCAATTCGTCTAGCGGAGTCCCGAAGACCTCATTGCTCAGCTCCAATACAGCATCCGGGTCCCTCAAATCATCTCTTCTATCTCGTTTGGACGAAATGTCCGATTCGTCCTCAAACAAAATTCTTCGGCCCAGATTCCTTTGATCATCTAAGCGGGCCTGACTGGCCCTTGCTCCACCAGTCTCTGATGTCATGGTGCTCATAACGCTGCTCGTACTCGCAAAATGGCGCTCAGCAATTGCAAACTCGTCTGCAGCGCTCGCCGTCAACGCTGCAGATGGCTCGTCATATGATGACGACAGAAGAGCAGCCAGAACAATACTGCTCTCCCGCCGTTCCCTGGGGTTCCGAGGCCGTTGAGGTGATCTTTCTATAAGCGCCATGTATCTTCCATATTTGCTTTTGGGTTTCTTTTCCGGGTCACCTTCCCATAGGTCGACTGCTTTCACCACAGCTAACGAGCCCGACATGCCCGGGTTTGGAGTCAGGGTTTTCCTTCCCCTAGTTTAGTGGCCGTCCCGAAAGCGCCTCTCGGAGCTGGACACTCCGGATTTGAAGTCAGGGTTTACTCCCCTAGTCCGATTGCGCCGTGGCTGACGGGGTCGGACACCCCGGATTTGAAGTCAGGGTTTTCTCCCCGATCCAGTTGCACCGGCATAAAGTGCTAAGCGAAGCTGGGAGCTCCCGGTTTTTGTTCGAGATTTTCCTTCCTCTATTCTCTCTCTTAGTACAGGATCTCACTGAAGGCCTTACTGAGCATGAGTGACCCTACCAGGGAATCAAAGGATTCCCCGCCAGCATAGCCCCTCAGATCATAGATCCTAAGCCTGGACACCATGACAAGGTGGGGAGAAGTCGCCCAGGAACCCGCATTCCGAACGCGAGGGAAACTGAGCCTTCCGGCTCGTCCCTCCTTCGCTGTAGGGGCAACGGCTGTGCGGAGAACGGCGGCGATCCCCCAGAAAAGGGACCGTATGGACACCGATGCCGACAATAGCGCAGGTACTGCAAGTCAACATCAATAGAAGTGGTCCTGCGCAGCATCTTGCTACGCATATGATGAGAGAGAGGAAGGCAGCCATTATGGCTGTCTCGGAGCGCGTCCCGGATTTCCCGACATGGGCGGGGGACCTGGATGGTCTAGCCGCTATTACCTGGATCCCACGCTTTGGGACTGCGGCCGTGCAGCAGGTAATAGACAGGGATCACGGATACGTGGCGGTAAGATGGGGGAGCATAGCACTTTATAGTTGTTATTTCTCCCCCAATTTTTTGCAAGAAGAATTTGAGGCCTCATTGGAGGCTCTCAGCAAAAGCATGCGGCGAGCGAGGGAGAACCCTGTCTTGGTGCTGGGAGACTTTAATGCCGGCATCCTGGGGCTTCTTCCGCTCGAATTGTAGGGGCCAGATGGTAAAGCAATAGGCCGCCGCACATGGGCTGGTCATCTTAAATACCGGACGGGTGGCAACTTGCGTGCGCTCTCAGGGCAGATCTATCGTGGACCTGTCCTGGGGTTCTTTGATCGTGCACCCATTAATTTCTGGGTGGCATGTACTATCGGCAGAATCACTATCGGACCACCGATACATATCGTTTGGTGTGCGAGCGGGGGGCAGAGGCGCGCCCATTGTCCGTCGAGTTAATTTTAACCGATGGAATTGCAAAGCATGAGACATGGATGCGTTTGAAGCGGCCGTGCTTGCGGGGGTGTGGGGCGACCCCATCACTCCTGATACTTCACCAGACAAAGAAGCTGGATGGCTCACTCGCGTCATAACAGACGCCTGTGATATGTCCATGCCACGAGTCAGAGGTGTGGCCGTGCGGAAATCGGCATACTGGTAAACGTCACAACTGGCTGAGATGCGGTCCACATGTCTCATGCGGCGGCGGCGTTACACGCGTGCACGGCAACGGGGCCGGATTGGGCCTGAGGCCTTGGATGCCTTGCGCATTTTGCTTAGGAAGTCTCAGCAAGAGTTTTGGCGCCCGATTCTGGTGGCAAAAAGGCGGCATGGACAGGGCTTATGTCCACATTGAATGACAATCCGTGGGATCACCCCATACCGGATTGTTTTGTCACGCCTGCATGCGGCTGGTCCTTCGGTAACAGAGACCCTAGAAGTGCAAAAGGTCCTGGATGTCGTGAACGAATTGTTCCCGGCGCGGGAGGATGCGCGTACGAACCTACGGAAGCGGATTCCATGGACCGCAGAATTGGACATCACCGAGTTGGAGATGAAATCGGTTATTAAGAGGATAGCTGGCCGGCGTAAAGCGTCGGGAATGGACGGTATCACGTGCCCTGTCCTTGTCCGGATGGCAGCAGTCGCCCCGTTTTATATTAGACGCTGCTTTAATAACTGTCTGCAGAAGGGGGCTTTTCCCCGAATATGGAGACGTGCACGCCTCGTTCTTGTCCCCAAGCCAGGAGCCCAGTCCTCGTCCTACAGGCCGTTGTGCCTCCTAGACGAGCTGAGGAAATTATTCGAGCGAGTCTTATCTCTTGGGCCGTATTGAGGAACATATATCCCATCGTGGGGGCCTCACGCCGAGCCAATATGGCTACCGTCCTGACCTATCCACGTGTGATGCGGTGCTGCGCTTCCGGGAAGAGGTGGAGCAGTGCAACGGAGTAGGGAAAACCTGCGTCGCAGTAAGCCTGGATGTGCGGAATGCGTTCAACACCTTGTCGTGGAACAGCATACAACAGACAGCAAGGGACTGGGATTTCCCAGTCTATCTGCAGGCAGTGTTGGACGCGTATTTGAGCTGTCACGAGATTGTTTTCCCGTGTGTGGACGGGCGCTTGAGAACGCGCCAGGTGTCGTGCGGAGTCCCGCAGGGGTCGGTGTTGGGGCCGCTCCTGTGGAATCTCGGTTATGATTACGTGCTGCGGGAGCACACTTCCCTCCCGGAAGGGTGCTCTCTCGTATGCTATGCGGACAAAACTCTCGTCCTTGCGCGTGGTGATACGGGTGCAAAAGCGGCAAATCTTGCTTCCATCGCTGTCGCAGTCGTCGCTTGGCGCATGCGGCGGCTGGGTTTGGCACTTGCTCCATCTAAGACGGAGGTGGTGGCTTTTAGACCTCGTGGTCGGCGGAGGGACAACCCGGTTTGAGTGATGGTAGAGCATACCGGGGTATTATCCCGGCCATGCATGCGATATCTTGGACTGTGGGTGGACGATCAGTGGAGGTTTTGTGAGCATTTCCGCAGGACGGCGGAAAAGGCCACTCGTATGGCTAACGCCTTGGCGGGTTTAATGCCAAATCTGCGGGGACCGAGCACGCGGGTGCGGTTATACATCATGGTCGTCCACTCGGTGTTGCTCTATGGCGCACCGGTGTGGCATCGAGAAGTGCAAGTACGAGAAGCTTCGCGATCATATGCGGAAGTGCAGCGGTTGGTAGCGGCCCGGTGGTTTGCGCGTATCGTACCGTGTCTCGCGAAGTCGTAAGGATTTTGGCTCAGGTAATGTCCATTGAATTGATGGCCGAGAAGCAGGCACAGATCTTCGAGTTCTCGCGCCGGGGTCTTAGAGAAGGACGTCCGAATCTTGCAGTTGAACTGCTGGATTTTAAAGAGCACGTACAACGCGATGCGGTAGAGGCATGGAGGGAGTGTCTGCGGGGCACTTCTCTTCCTGGCCAACGGGTGCATATGGTTTTTAAGACGGTTCTAGCTCAATAGCTGGAGTGTAAGGGGGCGATACTCCCTTTCAGAGCTACCTAGATTATATCGGGCCATGGGGTGTTTAATCACTACCTCCACCGGATAGGTAGGGCTCCTTCCCACCTCTGTGACCACTGTGGGAGAGTGGTGACAGACACGGCCGAACACACCTTGGCCGAGTGTCCGGCGTGGTTACGCGAGTGGATCCTGCTCACCGCTGTGATAGGGCAGGACTTGTCCCTATCATCCGTAGTTATGCGGATAATAGGAAATCAAGAGGAGTGGCGGGCCTTTCTCGCATTTTGCGAGAAAGTAATGTCCGCGAAAGAAGAGGCTGAGAGGGTGCGCCAGGGCCAGCGCCTCTCTCCGTAAAAATATTGGTGCGCATTGGGGACTCGTCTTCTGGCGGCCAATGAGTGCATTATGATGTACTAAAGTAAGAACGCCAAGTCCTCCATCTGTTTCTCCCCTCCTCTTGAGAGGGAAAAGCGGGGGATTGGGCCACTAGGGCTGAGAGGGCTGTAGGAAGGGAGTGGCGGGGCCACTCTCGGTCATTGCACACAGGCCGCACAGAAGTGGGAGAGAGAGGCCATTGTGTTCTGGTCCTTCTCCTCCCCCGTCAACCAGCGGGTGGAGCAGCGGAGTCCCGCTGCTACAGCACGAAGGGGGGAGGGGCGAAGTAAGTGCCTTTAGGGCAGTCACCCTCCCTCTTAATGCGTGAGGATCACCGGGTGGTTTTAGTGGGTATACTGTCTCTTTGACAGGAGCCCCACATACCCTGGATTCTTCCCCCGAGGGCTCAGGTATGCGTAACGCATTTTCCTTTGTTAACAAAAAAAAGGTACTGACATATTACTACCCTTCATCAAAGTCGGCGTAATCGCACTGGTTGACGGGTTACCGGAAAAGGAAACAATATGCAAAAGGAGAGAGAGCGACAATTTAAACTATTGAAAATTATATACTTACCTTAGTGCTAGTCGGGTCGGCTCCGGTCATCCGAGGTAGGTGACACTGCTGCTTGGTCGGTCGGCTCCTTACCAGAAACAGAGAAAAAAGGTTAGCAAATTTCAAAGTGCGGATTGTTGACGAAGCTTGAACGGATTGTAGTAGTGATACTAAGAGAGTTTTAACTCAGGAGCTCCGAGTGGGGGTGCAGGGTATGACGTCACAGAGGGAGAAATGACGTCACACAAGGGATGGGGTGGAAGAGGGGGTAATAACGTCACAGGGGAAGGGGTAATGACGTCATGCGGGGAGGGGGTATGACGTCACAGGTGGAGAAGAGTATGACATCACGCGGGGAAGGGGAGGAGGACGCGCGGTGTGACGGCACAGGGGGAGGAGTAACGTCACTATGACGTCGCGCGGGTGGCGTGGCTATGACGCCACAGGATATGACGTCACACGGGAAATGACGTCACTATGACGTCACGCGGGGGCGTGGGTCTGACGTCACGCGGTGGCGTGGCTCTGACGTCACAGTATATGACGTCACGCGGGAAATGACGTCACGCGACATTATGGCGACTTCACACGCGGCGGGCTCCGTTATGACGATTTCACACGTCGCAATATGGCGGTTCAACAAGATGGCGTCACAGGATATGACGCGGCGGGCATCGGTATGGCGGCTGCAATATAGCGGCGACAATATGGCGACTTCAAGGTATGTACTATTTACTATATGCATGGTGTATACTCGTACTTCTTACTGTTGTACGACAATACCGCGTCTCCAAGATGTATATATCTACGTTTTGGTACATATGTACATTGTTTATATAACAGAAATATGAAAAAACATGCTTAGAACAACTATGTATTTTGTACGTATGTTATTTATTAGCACATACTTATTTCACGCAGTATGCAACCTTATACGCAGTGCGCGCAAAGTTGCATAGTTGCAGNTTTTAGCGAGAGCGCGCAAAGTTGCGGAGTTGCAGTTTTTCAGCGAGAAAGACGTAATATTCACTTTTTTAATATATATGTACATGTGTTTTATATAACAGAAATATGAAAAAACCATGCATAATATGACTCATTCTATATTATAGTAAATGCACTTGTGTTTGCCGGATATCAAATTTTACCGATTTGATCACGTATTAAAGTAACATAATCTTATATTAAAAAATGCTGATGATAGCAAAAACTTGGTAAATGCGTATTAGAGAAAAAATGATTGGTGAAATGACTCAGAAATTCTGCAAAATATGCACTTATTGTTTGCCGGATCTCAAATTTCATCGATTTGATCACGTTTTAAAGTAACATAATCCTATATTAAAAAATGCTGATGATACCAAAAACTGCTAACTGCGTATTAGAAGATAACAATTGTGCACTCGCTATAATGACTCATAACTTCTGCAAAAAGCACTTCTGTCGGATATCAGATGTCATCGTTGTTATCACGTAGTCAAAGTTATATTTTGCAAACATTGCACTTTCTTTCGTGTATTGTATGTAGTTTGTCTTTTACTCTGTTCTTATGTAATATATACGAATACAGTTATAAGGAAAATTGGTAATCGGAGTGGGATCAAAGTTTGCACATTAAAAACTCACATTTGTACTATAAAAGAGAATTTATTAGTTACTAATTAGTATTTATTGTTAAGTATATTTATATTCTATAACAAATTGAACCATAAAAAAGAAATCGAATAATATAAACATAAGTTACATGTATGTTTGGATATGTATATATATATAGTAAACCCATGTGTGTTGCTAACTTCGTTTTGCGCGATGTGCGCATGTATTATTTACTATCAATATAAAAATAAGATATAAACTAAAATATAAACTGCGATATAAACTAAGATATAATAAACTAAGATACAAACAAACAATAAACTAAACTAAGATGTAATAAACTAAACTATACACAAATTATAAAGTAAAAAGCAGATTAACTTCCCAGTAACAAAACACATGCAATTAATTTTGCAATACACAATAGAGGAGTATATTTTTAATTGACTACTATATAATGACTTTTTACCTATTGCGGTTCCGGAGGTGGAGGAGTGTGTGGAGGTGTATTATTAAATATATGTATTTGTCCGAGCGCCACATTCATGTCTTGTATCATATTCTCCAAATGTGTTATCTCCATTTGGAGAATTCGCATCATGTCTCTCATGATATTGTTGGCTATAGTTCTGAAACATAAAAAATACAGTGTATAATTTCTGAAAAAAATAACCAGCCGTACATAATTGTAGTTAAAACAACCAACTTGTAAAGAGTAAAAACTAGTGATGTACTTACAAGTTTTGAGGGAGATGGTAGCCGTTCCATTCAAATGTGGCTTCTTCGTCTCTTCTTAAAATTTCCTCCATCATCCTCTGCAGGTGGCGTATCTTTAACACTAGCGTGTCTACCGTGTTCGCTTACGCAAATGCTGCTGGTGCCACTACTTCATTCAATTCAATACATTCTTGTACAATATCCATATCGTTGGTTTTGACGTTCTGAATGAGACTGAGTAGCAGTCATCCAGCATCTCATCTTTTTATACTTTATTCTTTAAATGTATTTAAAATCTGTGTGTCTTTTCTCGTGTCCTGAAGGATGACGAACTTTTATCAGACTGCTAAATCTGTACATAGTCTATCTGTTTCTCTTTAGCTCTGCGATTATTTTGTAACGGTTCTACTTTTCGGGAGAAAATGTTCCGTTGTTTTATATCTTTTAATTGTGCGGAGTAAGTCACGTTTTCAGCCGGTCCGCTTACGTCTATGTACAAAAACTAAATTCCGGGCAGACGGCTGGTACTTTAAATGCGAAAGCCTCGGTCAAGGCCGTTCAGGAGCCTCGGCTAGATGTTTTGACGCGTGAGTGCCGCAGTATTGCTCGCAACGCGGGTTATCGCGAGAACCGTCTTTATTGCGGCGAAAGTCTCTTTTCTATAAAAGAGATTTACGCGCGGTCGGGTCACCAACCGAGTTTTATCGGTTGCNAAGAAAATATTTACAATGCCGGAAAGTTACTTTTCTTTCGATACTTTGTCGTTCGGGCGATCTTGCGTCGCTAGGCTGTTTTTACTTTCGCGCTTCGCTGATTCCCTTGAAGCGGCTCCAATGGAAAGAGAGCCGGTTCTCCCGGCGGAGAATCGAAAGATTCCCCGAGCGGAGCGGAAAAGAGAGCCGGTTTTCCCGGCGGAGAATCGAAAGATTCCCCGAGCGGAGCGGGAAAGAGAGCCGGTGTTCCCGGCGGAGAATCGAAAGATTCCCCGAGCGGAGCGGATGCCGGTTTACCCGACGGAGAATACAAGATTCCCCCTGGAGCGGAGCGGATGCCGGTTTACCCGGCGGAGAATACAAGATTCCCC